TTGGTTCGCTAAAAAAACATGGAAAATAAAGAAAAGGAAACATATTTCCCATAATTGGATGTTTTCTTGTGTTTGGTTCACTTCTTAGAAGTAAAAAAAAGATAAGTTGAGATGAGTTGTCACAATATTATTGGATGATGTGAGTGATTTTTAAAGAAAACTTTTTTTGGTGTTCTTTTCTTATGTTTGGTTGGCTAAAAAAATAAGGAAAAAACTTATAAGGAAAATATTTTCTTTGTTTAGGTTCTTTTCTTGTGTTTGGTTCATTCTTAAAACTAAAAAAATAGATGAGATGAGATGAGTTGTCATTATCTTATTGGATGATGTGACCCACACTTAAGGAAATCGATTTCCTAGCTTTTTTGGAGGAAATTGGTGGAAATGAAATGTTAATGAGATATGATGAGTTGTCACCATATTATTGGATGATGTGAGTGGTTTTTAAAGATGGTAGTAGATGAGATGAGATGATGTGGGGTGAGTTGGATGAGTTGATTGATGTGACCCATTTCTTGTGTTTAGTTTATTTTTTAAAATAAGAAATAAGATGAGTTGTCACCATATTATTGGTTGATGTGGGAGATTTCTAAGGGTGGAAAATGATGGAAACCAAATTTTATTGATTTCCATGCTTTTTTTCCTTTTCTTGGTTTTTAGGAAACGAACCAAACAGCCCCTAAATAGATATGTTCTAAAATTTTGATACGTGTTAAATACTCTAAAATTTTGACACGTGGTATTTTAGGTATTACTTTAGTATTATTGCGTAGATATGTAGTTCATTTATCTCGGAAGAAAACAGAAAGCACAGACTGAGAGCAGCCATCTTCGTGTTTAACCACCGGCCCAAGAAAGTAGAATGGATCCGTTAGCAGCCCATCTCGATTATTCTTCTTATTTCTATCATCTTCCCTCATTTTTGATTAAGGCTGCGTTTGGGAACTTGGATTTGGATTTAAAAGGTTGATTTAAAATCATGGGATTTCAAATCTAGAATTTGAAATCCATGATTTGATAAAATCTTTTGTTTGGATGTCATCACTAAATGCAAGGATTTGAAATCACAGATTTAAAATCTGATGTTTGGATGCACTTTATTATACATGAATTTGGATTTGAAATTGGTGTTTTAAAAAATTTTATGCTCTCTCTTAACTCCTTAATAATTAAATCAAATGCGGACATTATGGTTTATATTGAGGAAAAAGTTAGGGTAAATTTCACGACCCCCTCAGAAGTTTGATCTCTTTATTAGCAATTATAAATACACATGCAAACATCTTGTCCTTCATGAATCGGTATGAGAGAATACAAAAAAAAAAAAATAATGTCCAAAATATTTATTATTACGCCATTTTTTCATGGCTTCATCCAATACTACATCAACCTTCAATCTCCAAAGAACAAGAGTACTACTCCAATAACTAGCCATGATAAAAGACTCGACGAGTCAAAAGAGTTTAGCAAACACTCCTCATAAGAAGCTCTACACTCCACAATAATCCTTCATTTAAAACACAACATACCATAGGTAGTTGATAACCATGATTTGCTATAAGAAGTAACCATGATTTGCTACAACAAGCCAAATTACGACAACATAAACTATTAAAAGAAAATATATCTAGAATCCTCTATTTATCCTTTAAGTCTTCTCCTCTTTTCTCTCCAATGCGCCCAACTTCATGTCTCAAAGAATTTGAGTCCTACATTACACAATTTAGCATCAATTAGTCCATGGCACAAAAATTTCTTGTGGTGGATCCTACATCAACCTTGCTGAAACCTGATGTGTTTGCTGCTGTACCTGGAAAATTGGTCATACCAAATGCCTCATCTTATCCAATAGCAGCATGTATGTGCATCAGTGCATATATATATATTTGTAAAAACAAAGGCTATGAGTTGCAGGTGTAGGATATTTCTTAATATTTCCTATATTGGCCTTGAAAAATAGTAGATGGACAGTCCAGGTAGTTGATTCTCAATATTCAAATATTCAAATATAATGATCCAATATCATGTAATTTTGTTGCAGTAAGCAGTACATGTGGTACCTATCAAAGCTAAAGATACCTACGGATATAGTAAGAAGTACAAATTTTCATGTATGTGCATCAGTGCAGAACAAGAACATAAATACATGGATTCAGATATCAAAAAAAATTTATGGCGAGTGTGCGTGATCTCTGTAATCAAATCTATTCACTTTTTAGGGAAAGCTTGCATTGAACAAAATCAGAGACAATAATAACAATAACAGAAGCTCATTGTCATTAGCATTATACAATAGAAAACTTAAATGAAATCAGTAACTAATTAACCTATGTTCCATTAAACATCACAAACAAAGAGAAAATGAAACTTGGAGAGAGTTACTTACAGGATTTAGTCAAGAGTAATGCACTTGACTAAATTAACCACACTGCATAAACAGAAACTACACTGCATATATAAAAATCTCACAACCACTCATCATCCTCTTCATACTCGTCACCCTCATTTCCATCTTGTAGCTAAATTATCTTAAAGTCGGTATTCATCCCACATTTGCATAGCTAAATTATCTCTAAAGTTGCTCCATTCATCTGTAACTCTCACAGTGGTGATACGCTCATCGTCTACATTCTCAAATTCTAAAACAGGAGAATCTTCTAATTCTCGATCCACATCATTCAACAAGTCGTCTTCATTCATCTCTTCACGTAAAAAGTTGTGAAGAATACAACATTTTTCCTAAGAATATAATCACATAACTGTTAGACCCATGTTAACTGTTCTGTGATACTTTTATGACAAACACTAGACGCCTATTTCCCTTCATCCTGTACCCATTTTGTTTCAGAATCCCCAATTCATAAGAGGCGGTTTTCCTTATAATTTTCAACTATATGTCAATCTGCAGTAGAACAAGCTTTTAACTTTAGACACCAGAAAAATAATGAATGAGAAGCATTTAACTTATCATTTACAAACAATTCTCATTTAACTTATCATTTACAAACAAACTTAGGTATCGCTTTCCTCCCCATTGCCACAAAATATACAATGGTAGCAACTGGTGCCGTTGAAGTATCAACTATAGTGTTGTTTGACATCAAACATGCGTCAATGCGTAGCAACTAATGAATGTTAAGTTCATAACATCCTTAAGTCATATTTCAATGGTAGCGCTAACTTATATCGTCTCTTAAAGAGTTACTGACAATTAAAGAAGACCTGCAGTGTAACACTCAAAGCGTATATTTACAATTTGGATTACCAGGGGCTTCTCAAAAGAAGAAGAAAAATTGACTACCTTGGACTATACTTCACAAACTACTGAGATGTGGCTTATTTCATGGTTCCATCCGTGTGCAACAAACTTTGGTCGTGCAGTGCATAATACATGATAAGTTATACATAAATGAATAGAGAAATGAATACAGAAATGGACTGGCCTCAATATCCTCTACTAACAGGCAATACAAAAGTAACCTCCAAGATCATATAAAATTATCTTGATTCCTTTAGCATTTTTTATCATCGAAAGCAATACGGACATTCTCTTGAATTCCTGGGAAACAGGGTTAATTGTTCACTTTCTTTTCAGCTCTCTATTTCTATGAGCACGCAACTCTTCGCTATCTTTCAAGATAATTGGAAGATGTTGGATGTGACAACAGGCAAACATTCAAGAAGAATGCAGTTCACTTACAACTTCATTAAAAGACCCAACACTAATGTCCAGAAAATCTGTATCAAAATGCCCCCTATCGAATTCCCCGAATGTGTGCTCAGATCAATAGAATTGTCTGCTTGTGTATGAGCTTTCCCCACAAGATCACAGTACCTCCCCAAATACAGCTGAATTAGAATACCCATAGGAACTTTATTTAAAACCATTAAAATGTTGTTATATCCTTTGAGATGAGACTGTCAAATTCAATATAATGGGCAAGGTAATGCTAGTGCTTTGAAATTATTGTCCCTCCTTAAGGAAACTATGGGTATTTCTAGGACGATGAATTAATTAAAATGTTGTTATATCCTTTGAGATGAGACTGTCAAATTCAATATAATGGGTGCGTCTGGTTGATCTTTTTTAAACTGGTTAGACTTAAAAATATCATGGAATATTAATATGCATCTACAAGTGCAGAGCAGTCGCATATCATTTTCCAGTTACTTTCAGTTCTGCATGTACCCAATTTACTATTCGTCGTTGCTTTCTATTAGATATTTTTATTACACATTCTTGGAACAAGGGTCATATACTGATATTAAGGCGTAACCTTGCACTATGCCATATACTTGTCCCAATTTGAATATAATCACAGATGGTATGGCTGTTTCTAGCAACATAAACACTAAAATTGAGATGAATCTAGCATATTGTGATCTGTCAAGTCTCACCTATGATTGAAAAACACTTCCTCTATTACTTCTGGTATGAATCTCCTCCTGCAAGTCGCTGACAGTAGCCTGCAAATCCAAAAAAAAAATCAGACGAAACCCAAAACTAACCCTAGATCTAGGAGAGCAACCGAAAGAGAGGAAACAAGCTACAAAAGAGAAAATCCAAGTCAGATCTAGGGTTTCGATGGAAGGGGGAGAGAGAGGAGTAAGGGGGAGACCGAAACCCTAGATCAAATCTAGGGTTTCAACGAGAGAGGAGAAGGGGAGAGATCGTAGAGATACCTGTTGCTGCGTTGAGAGAGAGAGATTCGAGATCGCGAGAGGAGGAGGCGGGATCGGTCGGAGCTGAGAAACGAGGGAGAGGAGGAGTCGGGATCGTCGGAGCTGAGAAACGAGAGAGGAGTTCGGGATCGGGATTTGGTAAATGACAAGGGGCAGGTGGGATTTCAAATACAGGCTTTTGGGCTTTCAAATTCTCCCTTTAAAATAATTTGATTTGAAATTCCAGCCCAGTTTTATAACCCAAACTAAAGATTTGAATTTGAAATACCTTGGATTTAAAATCCAGGGTCCAAATCCATGTTCCCAAAGGCAGCCTAAAAGTATTTCTTTCGCTTCATTAGTGTTTATTTTCGCCGCTCTGTTTCCTCAGGGGTTTCTCTCGTCCCAAAACCCCAGCGATCAAAACCATGGATCAACAACTCTCCAACGAAAGCCTAGAAGCGATCTTCTCTCGCCTCAAACCCTACTGCGTCGATCTCCTCGACCTCCTCCGAAACCCTAAGAAGCGCGCCCCCTTTCTCGTCGACATGGCCGATTTCCTCCGCTGCGCTCCACCCCAAGCTCTGCAGCCCTCCGTCGAGTAAGATCGAATCCTAGGGTTCGTTAATGTCTTTAAAGTTTCGTTCTTTTTGCTGTTTAGAGTGAGAATTCGAGCTTGGTTTCTTGGTTTGTGATGCAGGTATACGATGTTCCCTCTTCTGCTGCTTTTGGATGCGGCGGTTCAGTGCAGAGCGGGGGAGAGAGCCGATGAGCCGATGAAAAACCTTGATATCAGTGATTCCGTTGCTGAAGGAGTTTTGTTATGCATCGAAGAGCTTCTGAAAAAATGTCATCTTGGTTCTGTTAATCAGGTATATTTCAATTTTATAGTTAATAGTTAGTTTTAGCTACTGCAGTTTTGCACTGCATTCAAATTTTTTTTTAAATTAAAAAGGAAGAAATAGGCAATTTGCTCTTTCAATACCTTATGGTTCTTGTATATGCACCACAAATTCCTAAGGTGTGATTTTATATTCTAACACACTGTAAGTTGAGTGGCATTTTTATGGGAGAAAACCTAGGTTTCTGCCCGAATGACTTTATGAAATCCATTTTTTAGATGTATGCCTGCTAGAATTTGTTTTGAAGTGGCTATTATACCATCTCAAAATCCCTTTCATTGTATTAATATTTCAAAGTTACAATGAGGGTTAAAGTTTAGACTATTATATTAGCGCACTCGTGAAGATTGGTTTATTGTTTATACTGGCATGTCAGATTTTACATTTTCATGCTGATCCTTGAAACTGCACTGTAGATGTGAGCTTTATTTGATTTTTTTTTTCCATATTTGTATTCTCTGTACTATCTCGGGCAAAGTAGAATATTTTGTTAAGGTATAATTTTTCAGATGGTTGTGGTGCTGAAGAAGTTAACATCTGGGGCTATGCTTTCACCAAATGAGGCATCAGAGGAATTTCGTGAAGGAATTATCAGATGCTTAAGGGCAATGCTTTTCAGGATCCAGCCTTGCGCTGTGAGGTCTTGCACTTGCAAAAAACAGATAACCTTGCCGAAAATTATCACTGCTTTGGAAGCACAATATTCCACTCCTTTGAAGTACTATCATGAGCCAGACGAATGTTTGCTTGCATTTCTTCAGTCTAGAGATGCTTCTGCTGCTGTAGGGCATTGGCTTTCACTTCTTCTACAAGTAATCTAAAATCTGCAACTTTAATATTGTCAAGCGGTTTATTCTATATGTTCTTGCCAGTTCCTTAAAAGTTTTATATGTAAAGAGATATGTTGATGGATTTTGCTTGAAGATTGCAGAAACTGAGGTTTCTCGAGGGCATCGTGGTAGCTCAAGTTTAAGGATGGAAGCACTGTTAACACTTCGTGTGTTAGTTGCAAAGGTAATCTAACATTAACCACACTTGAACGCTATGTATTTTTTTTCTGGTAGTCTTAAAATGATGATGGCTATAACAATGACATGATGATGAATTTTTGGTTGACACACCGTCTTTTTTATTCCGAAGCAGCTTAGTTGAGGGCCCACTTTCCTTACTAATTTTATCAGTAATATTCTCTCCGTGTCCAAGTCTGTATAACCCTATTTCCTAACCGTGCCATCTGCAGTCATTTCAATTTATGTTAGCGTCCTTGGAGTCTTTCCAATGATCATAAATAGAACCAGTCTATCCTACCTTTTTTTGCAGCTCATCTACCTCAATATTTTTATTTTTTTACTCATTTATTGAGTATGTTGTTCCTTAATTGCTTAATTTTTAGATCAATACAACATGGTTCTTTTGACAATTGTTTTATGATGTTTTCTCTTCAAGTTCATGTTTTCCCTTCAAGTTCTTTCTTCATAGTTTCTCATAGTATTGATGTCGTTTGGTTCGTTTGTTTGTTCCTTCATCAGATTGGTTCTGCTGATGCCTTAGCCTTCTTTTTACCTGGCATAGTGAGTCGCTTTTCGAAAGCTTTGCATCTGACAAAAAGTATGATAAGTGGTGCTGCTGGAAGCACAGGGAGCATTGAGCATGCAGTTCGTGGGTTGAGTGAATTTTTGATGATTGTTTTACATGATGAGGCAAACCTTAGTGGACTTGAGACGTCCGGCGATCCTATCACTGAGCTGAGTTTAAAAAGTGGATCACCAGAGTCTGTTCTGCAGGCCCTTCGCTGTTTAGCTGTTCCTCAATCGGAAACTTTAGCAGAACATCCAGTACATCAAATGGATGCTATCTTTTCTTCCAAAGAAACAGTTACAAAGAACAACAACCATGCCAATGGTGGCACTCTATACGTAAACCGTACGAAGCAGTGGATAAATAAAACTTCTGAAAATGTTGATAAGTTACTGTCTGTTACATTTCCACATGTATGCCATCCAAACTTTAGTATTTGTTGTTTCTTTACTTTGGTAAAAATAAATATCAGTACAGTGCTATTAGATATTCAATTTTATGGTCTTGAATGAACTCCCCTTGAAATGTTGTATGTTGTTTACAGCTATCTGTT